TTGTCTATTCTATATATATATATATATATATATATATATAAATATATAAATATATATATATATATATATATAATGATATATATATATATATATATAATTATATATATATAATTATATATATATATATTATAAATATATGTATATATATTAATATATACATTAATCACGGTAGTTATTTCGACAAAGAAACATATTCGATATAATTTGCAGTTTAATAAATCAAATTCGTCAACATAAACGTCGATATTTGATTGTAATTCAGTAAATCAAATCAGAAAAAAAACATAAGCAAACTTTGAAGCAATATTATCTTTAAAAGTGGAAATTTTAATTTGAAAAAAACATAACGTGTGTTTTGTTTTCACTGAGAAAAAGTCACTTTGAGAAACTGGAATTAGAAACATATTTTAGTTTTCTTTCTATTTTATTATCTGGATACATGCCAGTAAAGAAGTATTTCGTTCAATCTTTATTCAATATTGTCCATTCTAAAACATAAATAATATATCGTTATCATTAACTTCCCGAAGGAGAAGGTTATGTTTTCATCAAAAAATCCGATTCGCTAATTTTATGTTTTCTCGACGTTTTAAGCCATTCTGAATCGAATGAGGCCAAATTTGGAGAAAGTATGTGTGTGTGTATGTGTATGTGAACAGATTTTTTGCTGTAAATCGACGTTTTCTCAAAAACAACTGAACCGATTTCAAAAATTTAAAAGCCATTCGATGTATCTCGATGAGGACTATCGTTTGTCGTGCGCTACGATCGGCCGAGCCGTTTCTTTGTAAATCGCAGAAAAGTGAAAATTTTTTTGTCCACATTTTATCCCGCAATTCTTAATCGATTATGAAAATTCAAAAACCGTTCGAAAGATATTGGTTGGGATTCGTGCTGATTAGTTTTTGGTAGAGATCGGCCGGGCCGTTTTTGTGTAATAAAGTGTTAAAATTTTTTTAACTAAAATAATTAAAGTTAAATAAAGTTATGAATAAATTTTAACTAAGAACCTAAAGCATTAAAGTCCTACGGAAACTGGTTCAATTATAAAAATTGTTTATTTTGAAAATTTGTTTTTAGAAAATATTCCGAGTTAACGTGTTCGTTCGTTTTCATACTTTAACCACTCATAAATTAATGTGTTTTTTATTGATTAAGTAGATTATTTACACATATCGGTTCATGTAACTTGCCTCAAGGCAAAATACCAATACGAACTAGTTATAATTAAACTTTGACTCATTTTTAATTAAATCTAACGAGTAGATATATTATTATATGTTTCATTTCATGATTAGTGTTCTCACTGTGCATGACAATTCCAAAAAACAATGTATCAAAATTGAATGCAGTGTAATATGTATTTAATTTTATTAACTTCCCGTAGGGTATGGATACAATTTTTTGTTCACGTTTTCTGGCGCACGGATCAACCGATTTGAATGGTTCAAAAAACATTCGATTCCTATTGATAGGGAGATGTGCTGATTAGTTTTTGGGAAAGGCAGGTCCAGCAGTTACGGAGATAAAGAGCAAAGAGTGTAGAAAATAGAAATCGAGTTTTTGAGAGAACGGAGTATCCGATTTGAATGATCTAAAAAACATTCAATTAGTAATGATTGGAGAAGTGGTTACTAGTTTTTGGCAAAAGTAGGCCCAGCCATTTCGAAGATACAGAGCTAAATGTTAAAAAAATTGCAGTTTTTGAGAGAACTAAGCGTGCGATTTGATTCAAAGAACTTTCTACTTGTTTTAACAAAATAATTGATTTTGAAAAAAAATTGTTTCAAAATAATTTTTTTTTTCAATGTTTTTTTTTTCAAAAAAAATTTTTTTTGTATATCGAAAATAAATCAGATTTTATTTTTAATTCTGACTAAAGTTCTAATATACTTTAAACGAATAATTTCAACTTTGCAATTCAGTTTATATAATTCTTATAAATATTAGACTGTGTTACAATATTTATAATAATCTTTTTAAAAACATTCAGTATTCCTCGAACATTTCGTTACAGTACGGGAAGTTCCAGCAATTTGCCTTAAGGCACGATGCCATACACCCCACTAGTTTATTATAGTATCTGATGCTTATCAAAAATAAATTAACGAAAAAACTACGAAAATGATCTTGAAAGAACATATGCATTTAGATTGAACATTCACTTGAAATATATTTTTAATTTTATTTTAATAACGAATGTTTCATAAACTTGGATATTTTTAAACAAGAAACAACGTTCTTGTTGCCACATTAGAGTATCAGCTAATCTTTTTTACTCAACAAAAGTAATTTACTTTGAAATAAAATAGTGGTTTAATAACTAAATAGTGGTTCTGGAGAAAATTAAGAGAACAATAACTGGTCAGGATTTGACTAGGTCTTTTTCCATTTAACCCCGGATACGTCAGGGTAGGGGGTAAATATATGCATATAAATACTTGTATTTTTTAATAACTGAGAGTCTACCAAAAATAACGAGAGGTAAGTAACGAAGGTTGTAGAGTGAAGATCAATATACATATCGTAAACGAAATAGTTGTTTTATTCACTTTTTTATGGTGCCGGGATATTCATAATACAGTTAACTTAATATCTAATTAATTAGAGTGATCCTCACCAATAGATATTTTACAAAGTGAAACGTGACGATTTATGTTAAATCGCTTGTTCGTAATGTGCTAACAACTTGAAGCACACACTCGCCATCTGTCCGTGTCTAACACTTGTACTTTTCAATCAATTTAGAAAGTAGTGGTTCGCGGCATCATGTCTTAAGGCAAATTGCTAGGATTTCCAGTACCAAAATTAAAAAAACTGAATAAATTAGATTTTTGCGAAATTTGAAATTTTTGAAAAAAAAATTTTTTTATTATAATGATTTGGCGGTCAAAAATGAACCTATAGAAACATTTTTGACCGCCAAATGGCATTTTTGTTTACTTTTTTTTGAACCTGCCTTCCCAAAAATTTAATTTTTAGTTCTTCGTTTTGTCTATACAAGTAAAATGTTTTCTCAATCATTCAATCATCGGACGCTCTTTGCTCTCAAGAACTGAATTACCAATTTTGCACTTTTTAGTCCGTATCTTCGTAACGGCTGGACCTGCCTTTGCCAAATACTAATCAATGATTAGTAATCAGCACATCTCCCCATCAATACGAATCGAATGGTTTTTGAATTATTCAAATCAGTTGATTCGTGTTCCCGAAATCGTCGACAAAAATTTGTTTCCGAACACACACATACATTTATTTTTTCTAAGGTATGCCATAATGTTCAGCAACCTTTTAATTTAATTATTTGCCAGAAATCAACTGTACCATCAAGCTCGAAGTAAAAAAATACTAACGAATATACAGAATAAGCTATAAAAAAGGAACAATTAGTTAACTAAGTTTGTGAATATTTCGTTCTATATTGATTACTTACTCGTTTAGGGCTATGCTGAGGCTTGCCGAAATAATACAAATAATTAATAATCAAGATGATTTTCATAGCAGATGTGCATTCCTCTTTTATCTCCTCTTACATATGTAGCTATAAGTCTTCTTTCTATTTTGTTTTCAAGACTTTTGGAAAGGCTGCTTCTTCAAGATATGCTTAAGTAGACTCTCCAGACCAATTGGAGTGCCAAAAAAAAGCATTCCGCCGTCCGACAGTGTCAAATAAATCGAAGAAATACTGTTGTATTTCTTGGATTGTACCCAAGACAGTGTCTTTGGCCTCTTTTCTTCACATCTTATTCACTTTTGACTTCCGTATAACTAATTTCATTTTTACTGCAACGTTGTCCGACGACATATTAATCTTTGTTTGCCATAGCTTCGTCTGCATCCACGATTCTAAACAAAATCATCATAGAAATGAACAAGAGAGTGGCGTATCAGAATATAGTAAGTCGATCTTTAGAACGACAGCTATTACAGAATATTAAATTAGTAATTATAATTAATAATTATAATAATAAATGTATCCGAATAAAATTTTAAAACATTTTGTATTCTTGCTGTTACTACTTATAACTAGATATTCATAATAAAAAAAAACAAGATCTTGAATAAAATAGAACTAGGAAATGGCTAAACAGATTTCAATGTGTAACAATAATAAAACAAAAATAAGTACCAAAATTAGTATAAAAATATAAATCTGTTGGTATAATAAAAAACAAGCACTAGTAACACAAGAGCCAAGATTAATTTTAATTTGCTTACACAAACTGATTAATTGTAATTACTTATAAGAAGAATAATCCTCACTTGAAGAATCTGGATATTGAAGGATATGGAGTTGTCTTTGAAATGATTTGTTCGATTGTGAAGAAAATCATTTCAATCACGCCCATATGTAAAGTGTAGTAATTCTAATTAATTTTCTAAATCCGCTGCATTCAGGAGGTTAGATCAATTTTATTTAGCTTTCAAGACATATCTTTCAATGGATGATGCATATATCACGTGGTATTCCACAATGTTCATATAAAAAATAACAATTTGCATGTTATAATCATACTACTATATATTACATTTCTGCATTTTACCAATTTCAAGTACAATTGCATAACAAAATAAGTTTTATTTGAATCATAATGAAAATTATTATGATTACCTCATTAGGCAATTTTGAAAGTGATCACAGCGAATGGACAGAGGTAATAATTTACATAATAAAATTTGACAAATGCATAATATAATTTTATATTTATATTGGCTTCCATGAAAATGTTAAAATTGTAAATATATACAAGTATAATAGCTAAAAATAATTATATACAATCTACTATTCACAAACATGTGAAAGTTTATTAAATTATCAAGATATATCACGTCATTATGTCATATTAAATATAATACTACATATATACATTTAATCAATATATAATTTATATTAAAATTTAAAAAAATAATATTTTTTGTCCAATGTATACAATAACATAGACCTGTAGACCAGAAGCAGTAAAGTTTTTAAACAATACAAATAAATCTTCACTGCCTTTAAAGTTATTCAGTGTGCTGTTTTCCAAAATATTCTCATCTTTTACTATTTTGGTGAATTATGAAAATTCAATGGTACAAATACATAACAAATAATAATCTATAACACATTTTATGTAAATTTATTGTAGATGTGAATAAATGCTCAATCAATCCATACACACAAACAATAGATCAGCACCAGATGTTCCAACATTTACCAATTGCTTTCCCTATACTGATGGCAATTAACTTTTTTCAATATGCTACCAATTCAGCTTTCTCTTTTATAAGTGCTACTTTTATAAGTTTTCTCAACTATATAAATATAACTTTCTCAACTTATAAATATTTTAAAAATTGTTTATACCATAAGCGCTTACACGGATAAAAACACCTTGTGTATGGCTACAGAATTATAATTATTCCATTAATATTTGTGCAATAGTGGCATCTTGATCAGCTGTGAGAACGCCTCCACTTTCGAGATATTCCCTTAATTCGCTCTCCAGATCGACTCCGCCAGGCGCCTGCGCACTTATGTGAATAGTCGGCGGAGTCGAACCGTCACCGACTGTTGCACTGATGACCGAAGTACCGCCGCTGTGATTCGGGAGGACTTGCTGGATGACTACCTGTTTGTTGTCCTGATTAGGTTTCACCATAATTTGCTGTTGAGTGGAGCTCTGCTGGACGCTATTTGATTTGTTCTGTTGCAATTGTTGTTGCTGCAGTGCAATCTGCTGCTGCTTTAGAGCTTGCTGTTGTTTCAGTGCTTGCTGAACAAGTTGCTGTTGTACTTGCTGTACGGTTTTCACCTGGTGTGTGCTCTTGCAATGCCGTACAGCAGGCTGCTGAACACGCACTATCGGTTGTGGCACTCTCGGGCCTCCGTGTTGTTGATTAATCAGCATTGTTTGCTGTGCATTCGTGGTCTGCAGTCCACTTGACGGCGCTTGATGAATTTGTATGATATTCTGTTGCTGCTGCCCAGCTTGTTGCTGTACAGATTGACCTTGGTGAATTTGTATAACATTCTGTTGTTGAGTGTTGACATGTTGTTGATTGACTTGAATCATAGGTTGCTGTTGAATTATTTGTTGAACAATTTGTTGATTCATCTGTTGCTGTCCGACATTAATCTGTTGTTGGGTACGAATCAGCGGCCGTTGTTGGACTACACGCTGTTGTGTAACTATTTGATGACGAACGGGATTAACTTGTTGCAACATTATTTGATGAACTTGATTCTGCGCTTGAGCTTGAGTTGTTATAACTTGTTGACTTTGACTTGGTTTCTGCTGTGGTGAGCAACTAGCAACTTGCTGCCGAATAGGGGAGCTTTGTGTTGATGCTTGATTCTTATTTTGTTGCTGGTTCATCAATATATTTTGTTGCAATACTTGAGGATTTTGAGGTCGCTGAAGAACACGCGGACCGCGTATCGCCATTAACTGATGTGACGTAGTCTGATTTGGCTGGGTTACATTACCAACACCAACATTTACTACTTGCTTTTGCATGTTTCCACTCATTACGTTAGTCCTTATTTGACCCTGATTTATTACGTTTGATATTTGCATACGAGGTCTAACATTTGATAAATTACTTTGGGTCACACTCAAAATTGGTCGCACTTGACTAACACTTTGTTGTCCTATGTTATTGCTCTGAGTCACGCATGTCTTTGACTGAGACATAACAGCGGAGTTAGCAACCGAAAAAGATGTGGTAGCTTCCTCCACATCGACAATTTGTGCATTACCTGCAATAAAATAAAATAAATTTATTTGCAATAATATTTTTATTATTTAAAATAAAATAATAAGTTATACCTTTTAAATACACAACAATATGCAAATAAATTATAACTGATACATATTTTAAAATACATAAGATGATATTCAATAATGATTGCTGATAAGACAATAACAGAACATATGAGCTGCAGAGAATGTTGAATGCACAAATATGAAGAAATGAATAAAATTCAAATCGCAAGCACAGAGATATTCAATATGAAATATGAGTATGAATTAATACACACAACACGCATGAAAGTTTACAAGTATATGCATATGTAAATCTAAATATATTTATATATACATATATAACACATTTAAAAAAATAAATAGCTGAAAAATAAAATTTGAAATAAAAAGACCAAAAAACCATATTAATGCTAAAGATATATGACAAATTTATTAATTAAAATGATACAAATAATGCAACATTATTCTCCACAATTCCAAAACTATTTGCAAATAAATTATTCTCAATTTATTTTAGAAAAATCATTTTGCAATCAATGAGACCAATATTACTGATCTACTCCTTCAACACATTGAAAAAAATGCACAGGAAGCAGTGAATTCTCAAAACACTTTTTACAAATATATATTTTATTCTTATACAGAAATCCATTAATATTAAGTCAATATGCTCAATATGTAAACTTGCTTACTACTCAAATTGGTATTATTTATAGATCATTAATTTCAGGGTGTAGAACAATCACATACTATTTAAAATTCAAATGGACAAGAGGATCTAGATAGACAAAGTAAAAATTATTAGACAAAAATGAAACTACAAAAATAAAAAAGAAACCCTAAACACATCAAATGAAGAAATGAGAAATGAGTAATGAATAATCAACCTACATTTGATACCAACCATTGCAATTGTGGTATCTTACCTAATGACTTTTGGCCTGGTGAAATCAGCGAGTTGCTGTGAGTTTCCATGTTAACTTAAAAAACAAATTTAAACAAAATCATTTTATACTCAATTGCTTTGATTTCTTAAAATATACCTATAAATTATTTTGTTATTTTATGTGTTTAATAAGATCAATAAAAATGTACAATTTATCTTAATATTAAAGCTCTAAGAAAAATACATGAAATGATTGTTATACATATTACAACTTAGCCTTGGGTAGATAAAAGAAATTCAGTTGTATTGTAATCAGCTAAAATGTATTACAATATTAACATACTTGTTTGAATTTTTTCCCCGATTCCCATCGCTTTTCTCAAACAAGATACTGGGGCCACATCGGATGGATTCACTTTCTTAGCCATGCTGGTTAAATTCATGGTGATCTGACTAGCCAAATTGAGTTCATTGTTAGAAGGTTGAGGCAGTTGTGATAAATGTTGTGGAAGAGGAAGTGACAATCTGTGAAAAAAGCAAAACAATATGTTTATTTCAAAATAAATAGTTGAACATTTTGCCTAAATAGTTGAAACTCAATTCTTATTAAGTATAAAGATTATATATACATATTGGGAAGTTCATGCAATTTGCCCTAAGGCAAAATGCCTCATACAACTAGTTATATTTATATCTCATATTCTATATGTAATAATGCTATATATTATTGCTGAATAAATGAAAACCCGTTTTAGTATGGAAATTCAAAAATGTATGAATATAACTATAAATAGAAAACTGGCTTTATGAGTGACGTCAATAAATGATTTTCCATGAGACCATATAACAATAACATTTTTAAGAATAGTACTATATTTAGAAGAAAAATTAGATAGTGTTTATAATGTATTACCTGTCAGTCTGGACTTGTTGTAAATGTTCTAGCATTTGTGCATTGCTATCAAGTTGTTCTTGAAGTTGTTTGGTAAGTTCTCGTTGCTGGGCTTCTTTTTCTAAGCTTTCCAAAAAGCTTACATCAATACCCAATTCAGACAAAGATCGCAATGAATCCATATCAATTTCCATTGATGAATTTTCAATTTCAACTTGCTGCAAAAGTATTTTTTCATAAAGATTTATTTGATTAATTTGAAGATTTTAAAACTTTTGTGTATTTGAGAAGAAATGATGTTTAACATCATTCCAAGTAATATTAAGACGCCTTTTAGTTTCCTTTGCAATTTATAGGTACTGCTGGGATAAGCTTGATTAATTTGAAAATATGTATCTCATATTGGAAACATGGAATTTTTAATATTCAATGTGAGTAATTATTAGAACAAAAAATGTTATAATTTAAATCAACTCAATTATAATTGTATAAAATCTCCATACATGATCTGCAAATATTTTCTCCAATTCCCGCTGCTCTGCGCGTATTTTTTGGTTTTCCTGTATTTTGGCATAAGTTTTCCGATGTTCTCCAGAAGTTAATAAGTCTAAAAGATTTCCTGCTAAGGAACTTGCATAAGGTGAATCTTTTGTAAACTCTAGTATACTATCAGCATATTGTGCACCGGTTTCATCACCTACAATTATGGTTAGAAGATGAATAGAATAAAAGGATAAATTGCATATTATTATATAGTAATATAAGATACCCTTACCATATGTTTGTAATACTAATTGAGTTTCTTCAGCTGTAAGATTTGAAAATCTCGAGTCATAAATTGGGGCAAAAGAACTAAATTGTCCATAATCTAAAGCTTTTACAGGCTTTAACAAGTTTCTTCTATCTTCTCGGAAACCTAAAACAAAAAATATAATTAAAAAGTGTAGATGGCTTATAATATTTTTCTTTCAAGATACGAATTGTCAAAAGAGCGATTCGTTGCTTTGACATACAAGCAAAATTTGAGCTTTGTGCAAATAAAAGTTTTCTAGAAAAATGTTAATGGCAGAATGATAATATGAAAAATTTCGTCAGTTGTAATAATGACTTTTTTACCCTAGAATTATTTTAGTTGTTTTATAATAGTAATTTTATAGTTAGTCATTTCAATTATATATTAACAATAATTGTGTAGTAATGATTGACTCGTCTGAGTATATCAAGGATTAATTTAATGTTTAAAATTTTAACTGTACATAAATAGTGATTGTACATTTAAATATGTTCCCGTTTATTGAAAAATATGGATATGGTGAGGATGTACGAGTGTAACACATCATAGATATGTACGGCATTTAAACAAAAGAAGTTGATAAATAGCATAACTCCAGCTAAGGTCCTTATAATAATTCATAAGCAGCTTCTGAGCTTTAAAAGTTTCAGGATAAAAATCATCTAAAAAATTTGCAATAGTTCAAGCATGGGAGTTGTAACAAAACATGTAAATTCATTTTGAAATGTCACGAATAAACAAGAAAAACAATAACTAAATTAATAGTAAATTTATTATTAATATTCAAAAAATTGAACAAAAACTGCAGTGCTAATAGCATTTCAAAATATTTATATTGAAAAAAAAATTACTTCAAGATACGAGCATGGTAAGATCATGAATTACAAAAGTACTAACAAAACAATTAAATTACCTTGTAAATGTCCGGAACCTTGAGATAGTTTACCAATAAAGGCTCCTAAGCTTATAGGCCGCTCTGGACCCTCCTCACTATTGTCTAACAAAATTTTCATACTAGTAGTGCCATCCTTATTTTGTCTAAGAAATCCTAAAATATCACATTTTTCATTGATAAACATGTAGAAAAAATGAAATAAATAAAAAGAAATTACTCTGATACTAATTGCAAACATACCTAAGTTACTTGAGCATCTCTTCGATAATAATTTATTTCTCGCTGTTCTAGCAGCATTTTGAGCTTGTTCTAAAATTTCTTGGGGTGTGAGGTCATCAACAAAAGGTTCAAATCTGAGTTAGAAAAAAAAGTATATTGCATCATTGTTTAATGTAAAAGCAATTAAATTAAGTGATCTTACTTAGATTTAGGCCAATTTTCAATACGCAATAGTCTACGTTTCTCCTCAATGTCCATTTCATTTTCAAGAGGTGCTTCCATACTTGCAGGTGATGGCTGTTCATCAACATCTATGGAATTTGGAGCTGGTGTAGTATCCATTGGTTCAGCAACTTGTGCTGCCTGTATTGTTAGGTATTTTATAAGGATGTTTTGTAAAATGATGTTTATCATATTATAATTATTTTTTATTTATTTTAATTATTAATTTTAATTATTTAATTAATATTTATTTATTAATCACTTTTAAATTAGTCATGATTTACCTTATGAACTACTGGTGAATCAACAACATTGTTAGATTTAGATAATTCAAATCCTAATTGCTCTGGTGGTATGTCAGACATAAAAACAAGTAGAGGCCTAAGAGCTCGAAGCTTTTCCGGCTGTAATAATCTCATTCCAACATGCAATAATTTTTTTGCTGCTTTATGATAGATAGTATCTGAACGATTGTATCTTAAAGCATTTTCACACATGAGTTTGAAGTCATCCTGAAAGAATACGTGCCATAAAATAAGAAGATAAAACCTATTATTGTTGATTTTATTTCTACTTTTCAACTGATGTTATATCATAGGGAAATAAAATTGCATTAAAACATTAAAATGATTTACGGTTTTAACTCAAAATGTGACATTATCTAAAATAATTAACAAGTAATAGCGGTAATATAACTTAACCCATCTAAGGGGGTACACTGGTTTATATTTTATATATCTTTTTTATATTTCCAAAATTTAATGATTAAAGAATATATATACAAAAAGATTTTGCCAAACAACAAAACGATTGGGACATTATTCTATATTGAATAATAATTTAGATAATAAAATAAAATATGTAAAAATTACTCACAATAAACTCCATCATGGAAGTATATACACCATCATCAATCTTTTGTTTCATAGTTGAAAAATCCATAGGATTAGTTATAATTGAAGAATATCCTGGTGCAATATTGTCAGTCACAGGCCAAGCAAACAATTGGTTTTGGTCTCGTTTCTCTAATGCTCTCAGTAAATGTTCCAAGAGTAACCCTAAAGGAGATCTTTCCTGTCGCTGACGAAGCACACAGGTACGAGGTTCTCGAACTATAAATCAAATAAAGCTTCTTACTTACTGCCTTACTGATAAAAAAACTATTGTCACATGTTTTATTACTAAATTTTTATTCATAACTTAAATCCAATACTATGAAAATATATTACTATATATTCATTCAAATCATGAAGAATAAAAACTTGAACATAGACTCTTAGTCTGTGAAATAACCCCCTTTATTAACAAACACACTTTTTAACAAAATTTTTAACTCTTTCTCGCTTTTTAATCTCCATCATTAAAGAGTCCATAAATGCCTTTTTGTAACCATCAATGTTTGGAGTATATGAAAATTATAATCTCTAAATCGATATTATCTGAACAAACTTTTAGGTAAGGCCAATTTTGAATGTCCTCGAAACATTGATGAATTTGATTGTAATTGAGTTTTAGTCTCAAATAATTAATTAATGTGTGTGTTATACTATCACATTAAATTACCTTCTACACTTTCATCTAATGTATTTGTTACTGTGCTATTATTAATTAATTTTGGTGGCTCCAATAAAGATTCTTCACCCATGCTCGTTTCTTCTTGACTAGATTCATTATGTCTTCTCCGTTTTTCCTGAAATGAGTGGTTATTTTAATTAAATTTATTAAATACATATGTTGCAATATAAGCACAATTTTTTAAAAAATGGCATTATTCTATACTTAACACTTAATGGACAGACCTAATTTTATGTTTTTATATTCTGACCTCGCCATTCAGGTCATTTACATATAATATGAATGCTTTACAGTACATCAGTCGCTTACACACTTTATACTTTATTTCATTTTATATACAAATCAATTCATGCTTATCTAATTCCCCTAAATATTAAATAAAACGGAAAGATAGGGAAAAAAACTAAACGTCCTATCGAAACGAGACAAAATTCATTGCATTCAGGATTAAATTCTATTCCAGTTGAACCTAAAAGAACTTAAAAAAAGGTATAATTAAACCACTTTTTAAACAATCTAAAGTGAAGTTTTGTATCAAAAAACATAATTTTTTTTTCAAGTTGCAAAAAATTGGTAAATTTCTCATTTTATTCCGGATTTTTTAGGTTCAACTAGAATCTATACTATTGAAAATATATATTTGTTTTGATTTTTTTTGTTTCGGATGGAAAATGTGGCCTGCATCTTTCCCGCCAAGTGACACCTTACGCGCTCGTCGCGCATCGGCAAAATGCTTGTACCCGGCATTTTATAATATTATATCAAAATGTAAATCAAAAAAGTTTTGAAATATATAACAATAAAACCTGAAAGTTTCGTTTCAATTAAACATTTATTTCCTTCCCTAAAAATTCATTAAGAAAAGTCATTATTTGAAGCCTTTAAAGCAGGCTCCCCCCCCCTTAAAACTAAATTTAATTCAATACATAAGAAAAATTAGATTTTTGCTCAAAAATATTGTAACTATATATTATTTTATTTTATTTGAAGAGTGATAACAGTGAACATTGTAAATAATAATCACATAATAAAAATAAATATTTTCACTTAAGAGGATATTCTAGTATAGAAATTGTAAAAAAGTTTCTCTTTATTCTCATATTTTCAAAGTTTAACTATTTAAGAATATGTGTATGAGAGGATTTTTAAAAATTCACATTATTTTCGGAGATACAGCTGTTTCACCATGATAATGCTCTTCTGTTTCCTCTTTTTTGCAAAACTTTAAATGCGTTTTTCTCTAACCTTTCATTTTCACTACAAAGTGCACAATTTCTCGAGCTTTATAGACCTCTCAGGCATATACTAGATCCATCCCCAAATTTTAATTTTTACTACAGTAGAGCCTCGATTAACCGAACTAATTGTTGTCGATAGGCATTTGGATAATAGAAAATCCGGATAATCAAATGTATGAAGAATAATGTTAAGAATTTATTAAAAATAACAAATAACTACATAGATATCAACAGAAATCAATGTTTAATAAAAAATTAACACTTCCTTATGTGTGTATAAATAGATTCTTAGATTACATACATATTACATTACATACATACGAGGTCTGTTCAAAAAGTACCCGGAATTTTCGTTTTTTCAAAAAAATATTTATTTATTCGTCTACATTAATGTGGTCCCCTTCAAAGTAGTCCCCCCCAGATATAATACACTTATGCCAGCGTTTTTTCCAATTTTCGAAGCACCCTTGATATTCACTTTTTGATATGTCCTTGAGCACTCTCAGCGATTTTCTTCAATCGAGGAAAACCGCCGTCCTTTCATGGGTCTCTTCAACTTTGGGAATAGGAAAAAGTCACACGGAGCCATATCTGGTGAATTTTTGCACTTTGCAACACTTTATTTCATTTTTTACGCAAAATTTAATACAAATTCTTTGACTTTTCAATTCTTCCATTGTAAAAATCGCCGAGCTCAGAAAAACACGTCGAACCTTAGCGACTACCACAGACAAAGTAAACAGTGAATATAGCTGAAAATTTCATCATACTTTAGGGGCATGTATACCAACACAATAAAAAAAAAATTTTGACAATCAGACACTCCAGACCCGCGAAATTTAATTATTAGTAATTCCGGGTACTTTTTGAACACACCTCGTATACTAAACTGCAACATTAATCATGCAAAAATTCGAATTGTAGGTATGTATACACATATAAATTGGTTGCGGTTGGTAGTCTGGATAATCGCGAATCCGTATAACCGAGGTCCGGATAATAGAGGCTCTACTGCATTTTTAAAAATTTGGAAAAGTGGTAAGAAATTGATCCTTTTTTCAAACAGTCACCATTTTGTCAAAACTTCATTTTTTAACTTAATTCTAGTATATACCTACGCAACTTTTTTTTGCATTTCGGATTACTAGGAAGGTTTCAATTGTGGGCATGGTCATATGACAAGTTTTTGAGACTCTCAATTCAACCACTTCTAATTTTTAAAATTGTCAATTATACTTTTTTTAATTTTTTTTCAATACTCTTGTAACAATGATGAAAAAGTTTTAAAATAGAGAATAGTACAAAAATTGATTGCCTTTTTTTTACGATGATTTAAAAATGACCTAGCATTCCTACACTAGAATAACTCCTTAACACAAATATGCCTAACAAGTACACCTAAGTCTGTTTTTACACGGTCTTTTTGTACACGGTTTGAAAATTGAATATTTTTAATTTTTTTACACGATTTTATTCCATTTAGCACGATTTGAAATTTTATGTACTTAAATTTTTTTGTCAAATTTAATTTTTGCGAAGAATGTTCATATCACAAAAATGTATTTATGAAAGAAAAAAGTCTGAAACCATCTATAGTATCGATAGTTTGCGAACACTAGCTTAAAGATTTAAGTGAATTCCCCTTTAGCGCGTACAAACAATTTTTACTGGTCAAAGCAAATGTGAATAGCACTAATTTAGGGGAATTATTATTAAAATAAACATGAATTCTTGTTCTTGAAAATTCTTGTATTTCACTAATTTTAATAGGTTTTAGAGAGTAGGACAAATCACCCATTTTTGTATAAGATCAATGTCTTTTTTTACACGTTTTTTTTTTTACACGGCTTCTCTGGAACCAATCTCCGTGTATAAAACAGACTTAGGTGTATTTGTATTAGAATAATGTTGGCTTGATTTATGAAAAAATATTTTGACAGTTCATTATTTGTAACACTATAATGTGACTTGCCTCAAAAATTCTGATTTAAGATAAGATTATGTATGTAAAATTTAATGCCATTAAGTACCTTGTGATGTTTATGCTTCTTTTCTCTATCCTTTTTCTTTTTCTTCTTTTTAGCCTTTTTGTGTTTTTCTGCCAAATCTGATAACCCGACATCATTTCCTATACATATTAAAATAACTCAGAAAACAAATTCACCAGTAATATATCAAAACTTTGTTCAACTATATTTGTAAACTAACCTCCTGAATAAAACGGTCCTGGAGAATCATTACTATGTTCTGGTGTGGAACTATTGCCACCCACCTTTAGGATTAATTTTAAACCAGGTGTTCTCTCAAGACTGAATTGTGAATCTAAATACAAATATTAAAAAATATTTAAAACTAGTTTATCACAGTAGCAGAGGATAGTAATAATATTTTACACACCATCATATTTTTCCCTGCGATCGGTTTTGTGTTTTTTATGTTTTTTAGAACCCATTGTAATAATTTGGTTAGAAATGTTGAAAATTGTAAGAGAAACGTTAAGAAAATCGACAGAAGCCGCTTTTCGTATAGTTGACACAAAAAGCAACAAGACGCGATAACTATCTGCCACTACTACAATGGCGTTTCACTTGAGGTTACATGATGACAAGCTAAGGCTCAAACCAATCATACCAACGGTGAGGCGACAGATGCTGCTGGCTACTGTACTGACTAGCTGTAAGTGGAATTCTGTCTTAAGGCAATTAGGGCATCGTGCCTTAAGCAAATTGCTGGAACTTCCCGTTCCAAAAATTATTTTTTTAAAAACGATTAACATTTTTGAAAAAAAAAATACTTCGAAAATATAAGATTTTTGAGAAACTTTAAATTTGACAAAAAATTACTTTTCTTTGAAAAAAAAATTTTTAAAAAATTTTTTTTTTGAAATTTTTTTTTTTGAAAAAAAAATGTTTTCTTTATTTTGATATATGTTGGAAGATCTGAACTTTTTTTCAAAGCAATCGTACTGCTTTAACTGCATAGAGACAAAATATAAAGCGCGTAAGCGCCGCGTCGCTGTCTAACGGGTAAACATTGGTACGGAACCCATAGGAATGTAAACAAAATTTATACTTATTGTTAAAATCTCTATAAAATTTCTAATAATTTGATGTGCATATGTCTAATGATCATTTTTGACCGCCAAATGGCATTTTTTTTTACTTTTTTCGTTATATCTCCGAAACCGCTAGACCTGCCCTTATAAAAATTTGATCAAATCTTCATCTTGTCAACACAAGTAAAATGTTTTTTAAATTATTAAAATCGGACGCTCCGTTCTCTTAAAAACTGAGGTACCGTTTTTGGCACTTTTTGCCCCATATCTTCGGAACGGCTAGACCTACCAACGTCAAAAACTAATCAGCACGTCTCCTTATCAATACGGATCGAATGTTTTTTAAATTATTCAAATTGCTTCATCCGTGTTCCCGAAATCGTCGACGAAAATTTGTATCCGCACACACATACATACTACGCACACACACACACACACACACACACACACACACACACACACACACACACACACATGCATCCATTTTTTCTAAGGTATGCCAAAATATTCAGAAACCTCTGAAACGTAAAGATATATAAAAATTTTCATTTTCGATTTTTTTGCGATTACTATAACTTACCCTACGGGAAGTTAAATATTCATTTGAAAGCCGTTATTGCACGTGGTCGACATCCCTTTAAGAGTGGAGCCTGCTTTAGAGGCTTAAAAAAATCGATTTTTTTATTTCAACAATGTCTTCCAAAACTAGCCAAGAACATATCCCTAAAATTTCATAAACAAATTCAAATTATTTTCGGAATTCCAGAAGGAATAGTGAGCAAGCGTCAAGCATGTATACACGCGGAACGAAAACTTCTACGCGCGGGAAAGATAGGCGAGAAAAAAATTATTGAATTCAGAACTAAATTCTCTTCTAGTTGAACCTAAACAACTGAAAAAATGTTATAATTAACCCACTTTTTAAACAATCTAAAGTGAAATTTTGTATCAAAAACATGATTATTAACTTCCCGTAGGGTAAGTTATAGTAATCGCAAAAAAATCGAAAACGAAAATTTTTATAGATATTTACGATTCAGAGGTTTCTGAATATTTTGGCATACCTTAGAAACAATGGATGTGTGTGTGTGTATGTGTGTGCGGATACAAATTTTCGTCGACGATTTCGGGAACACGGATGAAGCGATTTGAATAATTCAAAAAACATTCGATTCGTATTGATAAGGAGACGTGCTGATTAGTTTTTGGCGAAGACAGGCCTAGCCATTCCGAAGATACGGGGCAAAAAGTGCCAAAAACGGTAACTCAGTTTTTAAGAGAACGGAGCGTTCGATTTGAATAATTCAAAAAACATTTTACTTGTATGATGAAGAATGAAGATGAAGAACTGATCAAATTTTCATGAAAGCAGGTCTAGCGGTTTCGGAGATCTAGTAAAAAAGTAAAAAAAATGCCATCTGGCGGTCAAAAATGATCATTAGACATATGCACATCAAATTATCAGATATTTTATAGAAATTTTAACAATAAGTATAAATTTTGTTTACATTCCTATGGGTTCCGTACCAATGCTTATCCGTTAGACGGCGGCGCGGCGCTTATGCGCGTCGATGTTTCGTCTCTATGCAGTTAAAGCAGTACGATTGCTTTGAAAAAAAGTTTTCTTCAAAAAGTCTTCTTTTCAAAAAAAAGTACATTTTTGTCAAAAATTTATATTTTCTCAAAAATCAAATTTTTCAGAGTAAATTTTTATCAAAAATGTTAATCTTTAATAAAAAAAAAAATTGGTACGGAAAGTTCCAGCAATTTGCCTTAAGGCACGATGCCATGCGCCCCACTAGTTTTTTCAAGCTGCAAAAAATTGGTGAATTTCTCATTTTATTTATGTTTTTTTTTTAAGTTTAACTAGAATCTACGCTATTGAAAATATATGTTTGTTTTGTTTTTTTTTTTGTTTCAAATGGAAATTGTGACCTGCATATTTCCCGCCAAATGATACCTGCACGCTCGTGGCGCATCGGCAAAATGCTTATAACCAGCATATTATGTCATATATTTTAATGAAAAAAAATTGAGAAGGATGTTGAAGTATGTAACAATAAAACTTGAAAGTTTCGTTTCAATTAAATATTTATTTCCTTCCCTAAAATTTCCTAAAAAAGCGATTTTTTGAAGCCTCTAAAACAGGCTCTCCGCTTAAAGCAAATTGCAGGAATTTTCCGTACCTTTTTAAGAGAGCTTTAAAATTTTTGAAAATTTTGAACAACTTCGTTTTTTGAGAATTCTGAAATTTTTGAAAAAAATTGAATTTTTTTATTATATTTTGAATTTTGTTGAAACCCATAGAAATACATGCAGCATTAGTACTTATTATTAAAATCTCCATAAAATATCTGATAATCTGATGTGCATTTATATAATGATCATTTTTGACCGCCAGAGGGCATTCATTTTACATTTTTCATTGAATCTCAGAAGCTGCTGAACCAGCTTTTCGAAAAAATTAATCAGTTCTTCATTTCGTCAATAGACATAAAATGCTTTTTAAATCATTCAAATCGCACTCTGCATTATCTCAAAAACTGAATTGCTATTTTTGGCATTTTTTCCCGTATCGGGATGAACCTGCCTTTGCCAAAAACTCCCCATCAAAACGAATCGAATGTTTTTTGAATTATTCAAATCAGTCCGTGTTCCAGAAATAGTCGACGAGATCCGTGTTCCAGAAATAGTCGACGAAAATTTGTATCCGCACACATACATATAACTTACATTCATTTATTCTAAAGTTTGCCGAAATGTTTAAAAACCTTTGAAATGTAAAGATATATAAAAAATTTCATTTTCGTTTTTTTTTGCTATTGCTATAACTTACCCTACGGGAAGTTAAAAACTTAGAAACTAAAAATTTGATTATTGTAATCATTGAAAGTGATTCTTTATCTTGACGTAGTTAATACGATTCAAAATCAATACTTAAGTTCAAGATCAATAACTCAATCAATTATTCAAGATCAATACTCTTTTTTACTCGGATTATTTGAAGCGGTCTTATGGGTATAGTTAAGCACCAATTTTTTGGGACCCTCTCCATCACCTGCTACCATTAACAATTTTTGACTGTTTGGATTGTTTTTTATATCCATAAAACATTAATGATGAATGAAAAAATTGGCAAGTATAAATATTGTTTATCTTTTTTATGGGTTTTCAAAAATCATATAAAATTCATGTCTCTAGACCCCATAATTATTATAAGCAATATTGTTTGTTTATTCAATCCAATCCAATATATTTTATTGGATCTGTATATTCATTATAAATAAATCACTTATAAAGACTCAAATATCAAAATGAGCACATAATAATATATTGCACTCGATATTTAGATAGCACCTACTTATTATTACACATTAAAATAAAATATAACTAGCGAAATATTAACTTAGGTTTAGTACGTAATAAAGTAAACACTAAATATACAAATTTTCTCCATTCTACAAATAACAAAAGTAACACCCGTGGCAAGAATATATAGACTTAGTAATACGACATATAATTAATTCAGTTATAAGGTAACATGCCCGATTCATATTTAATATGCCTTGTGATCGATTAATAAGAGGTAAATAAATAATTCGGCTGCATTTCTCACAGGACTTGATTTGCGGCAAATGTTAGTCTGAAGAAAATCGATTACAAACTAACAGTGAAATCATCGAAAGCTATGAAGAATTTAATGCAATTATTGCCATTGTTTACGTTTTTTAACAGTCCCTCAGCAGACGTGTTAAATGATATTATTATAAGTAGTTTTCCACCTTTGAAACGGTGTACGCACGTGCTGGCCTTTAATGATTATGGAATACATGTGCTTGATATATTTCATAGGAATTCATTTCCTATTCTGATTACGTTAAATTTGACTTTAGCCATCGGAGATAAATTTATGTCGAAAAACTGTGAAGATTTTGTGATGGAATGTGAAAGTGAACAGGATTTATTTAATGCAATAGAATACCTTGAAATATTTGCTAATGGTGATTTTCAATTAACAATGAGGATTTTAATTTTTGCTCATGGGTTGAGAAAGTTAGAAGATAATCGTGAAGTAAATACTAAGTTAGCAAATCTACATCTCAATATTTTAGTGATTCGTCAATATTTAAACTTAGAGTCTGGTAATAAAATCCAAATTGAAGAAAATTCTGACGACTTGACGACCTTATATGCACCGTTGCTAAATAAAAATATAGTTTACAATGTTAAAGAATACGCGCAAAATCCCAGAATACTCAGTCAAATGTTCAAAGAACAGAAAGAGTTTTTAGATTTAAGGATAATAAATAACAGCACGTTTCGAATTAGTTTATTCGAGTGTCCGCCTTTTGTAATATACGTAAACAACGAGTTGGACGGCATTGAATATCGAATAATTAAAGAAATATCAAAATCTTGGAAGTTACACGTAAATCGTAGAGATTTCTCTGAAAATATTTCTGATCCATGGTCTGCAGTAATCGACGATGTCGTGAAAGATAGC